CCTCCACAAGGATTAATTTTCCTAAATTAGAAAGGCCAAGACTCAGGAGTCCTAATGGTTCCAGAGAGGTCAAAACTCTTCAGCATCCCTTATATCCCTTTGGAATGAACTGCCCCCAGAAATACGTAAGATCTCCGATCTCCATGTATTTCGCTGTGCCCTCAAAACCTTGTTGTTCCGCCAGGCCGGGCTATCAATCTAAAGATTTTAATTGGTTTTAAATATGGGATTTTAAATTTGGGGGTTTTATAATTGAGCCAATTATTTAATAATTTTAATTATTTTTAAATTTTGTCTGCCTTTGTGCTTTTAATCAGGCTGTACACCACCCTGAGTCCTTTGGGAGAAGGGCGGTATAGAAATAAAATAAATAAATAAATAAAATAAATAAATAATAATGTTCATTCTGCTCTGTCCAATTACTTCCAAAGTTGAGAACCGTACAGTTAAATCTTACACTCATTATTTTTTAAAGAATGTTAAGTCTTCATTCAATCTTGGTTGCCAAAAACCTTTGTTGAATCATACGACTGTACAAGATGTGTTCTTTAACAGTTTCATGATTTTTTTTTTAATACTGGGTTTGCTGTAGCCATTTTTTCTTCATTTCTTAATGTTGGTTAAAGAACATAATAAATACACTACATTTTATACAAATTAACAAGTTTTCTCTAAATAACACAATTTGACTAAAGTTAATTTAGAACAAGGGTGTCAAACTGGTGGCCTGCGGGCCAGATGCATCATGCACAGGCCACGCCCATACCAGCTCTGCAAAATGTTGCAAAACATCAAGTGACAGCAACGTGATGCTGTGAGTTTTACACCCGTGATTTAGAACCTTTGAATAATATAGTAGTTTTAGAATGCAAAACTAAAAAAAAAAAATTCTTTCATATATATATTTCCTTTTAAGTAGGTGACTTGATAATGAAAGGCTAGAAAATTTGATTTAGTCAAGAAGTGAAGACATGCAGCAAAATAGCTTGAGTGTAAATGATGAAATTATAAGTGTTTAGAAACTTTTCTTCATTTAACTTCCTCCCATTTCTAATATTGATGCTATAGTACATAGCATGGTACATAGATCATTAAAACAGTTTAAATTAGAAGACACTAGATGCAAGCCTAAAATTACTGTCCAGAGCTCTTAGTTAGAATTTAATGTATAATAGTTTTGTCCCCAGACTGCCATTGAATTTAATAGGTATACAGTAGGTGTATACTGTATGTATACAATTTAGTTAAGATTTATTCAACCATAAACTGCAATTGCACACATCTAGTCTTATTAAGAAGAAATCAATGAAAGTTAAATTATTCATTATATGCTCAAGACCTTTTATTTTCAATACAGTTTAGAACTAAACTATAAATACATGTTTTTTTATGCTCTGCTTGGGCAAGCTATCTGGAAAGCCAAGCGTGTTCCTGTTATGGCTGCATCTTTACACGTGTAAGCCCCATTCCTATTAGATACATTTCAGGCTTTCCTTCTCTGGCAGGCAGAGCAGAAAAAATGTGAAAGTTTGGTTTAGCCACAATATATACAAAAATTTAACATCCAGTTTTCATGAACCAGACTGAATTAGACAACATTCCTTTTTTTTTTTTTAATGTACACACACACTATTTATTCCAGTTTGGGTTGTTTTCAGCATCCCTTATTAGATTAAGTTCCTTTTGAGCTTTAGTTATTATAACTGATTAAACCCATTTTTCATTTCTTATGCATATCCTTTTTAAGTTATATTTTACATGTAACATTTTCCCAAACTTCCACCCATTCTTCATTTCTGAGTGTAAGCAGATGTATCTTTGGTATCCTACTTAAAAATACTGCCCACATCTTTTCCCTGATAATTTCTCTCCATGCGATTCTGTCTAGTTTTTCTCTATGCTTCTTGGAATGACCTTTTCTGAAATCTAGTATCCATACACATCAGTGGTGGGTTGCTCCCGGTTTGGACCGGTTCGCAAGAACTGGTAGTAAAACTGGTGGGAGGCTCTGCCCACCATCCCGGATGTCATCATCGGCGATCTGTGCATGTGCGATCCCTTTGTGAACCGGTAGTAAAAGTAAGTAGAACCCACCCGATACACATTCATTCTCCAATTTCTCTTTCGGTAGTATTTTGAATTCCAAAAAGACACGGTTACTACCTACTTCCAAAGTTTCTTCTACTTTTTCCTCTTGAATCAGCTCTTCTCTATTATTTAGATCAAATGTAGGAAAACCAATCCTTCCTCTCTTTCACCTTTCTGAAAATGAAACAGTAAGGCCATTACAGAACTTTAGGAAAGTTGATTGAATTGGTCTGGGGAGTTGAAGTCCTACATTATCACCATGTTTGTCCTCCCTGCATTTATAATTTTATCGATGGGAAATTTATCCGTCTCTTATGATTAGGTTGGTTATCTCTAGCAGATTAAATTGGTCTACTTCTGATGACTAAAGGACCCAAATGGGATCCAGAGGGAGCTAGAGGTTCTTTTTGAGAATCTGCTGCATGGTCCAACTTTGCTTTGGTTGTTATTTGGAATGTGGAGGAGGCTTGGATTGGATCGCACCTTGCATCCTCACTCTTCCCATGGATCCCATCACTCTGTGGTTTATGGAAGAACTGAGGGAAATGAAATGGGAGATGTCTAGAGTGTTCCTTAGGTTGATGAAGGATGAACTCAACCAAACATAAGTACGAACTATTAGGACCTACCTTATGGTGGTAAGAGTGGCAAAGTGTCAATATCTCTTCACCCTTATTGCATCCAGACAGCTATTCAATGGCCGTGTTTCAAGCCAGACTCTTCTATTTCATCAGGCTGGCCTGGCCTAAATGTTCCCCCTTTTAATGTGGAAATTTTAAATTTGTTTTAATTATAGGGTTATGGGTAAGGCGTTTTAAATTGGGGAGCCATTTTGGATTTAATTTTGTTTTAAATGTATTTTAATGTTTATATTGTATGTTTTTTAATCTTGGCTGTTCACCGCCCTGAGTCCTTCGGGAGAGGGGGCGATATAAAAATTTAATAAATATAAATATATAATATAAGCCCTTTTAGGTAGGGGAAGCTTCTGGATTCATCCATATTGCTGTGCAATGAATATTGTGTATGACAGACTTGATTCAGGATCTGTGTAATTGCTTGAGGCACAGTCTTACTCTGTTTTCTGGGAATGGTTTGAGCTGTTGGGCCTGACGAAGTGGCCCGGTTTTTATGATTGTGAGCTCAGCCACCTGCCCATTAGATCCAGGCCTGTCCTGGTTGGCTGCGACTGCCTCTGTGCATTTGTGTGTCTGTGTAACATGTAGTTGGGCTTTAGTTCTCCTTCTCATAAGGAGGCATTGATTCACCCTTCCTCAAGAAGCCATTTCTGGATCTCACCATACTGAACAATGTTTATCCAGAACCCAACTTTCCTTTTTTTAAGAGATGGTTGTGGAGAAAGTAATTGCACAAACTGTTTCAAGGGACTCTCAATTATATGGATGACTTTCAGTTGGTATTCAGGCTTGGACATGGGACAGAAATGCACTGGTCATGCTTTTGGATGTCTGGAAACAGCAGGATGGGGGTAGTGCACCATTCCTGGCTCTGACTGATTTCCTCCAAATGTATCTTTCAAATACATACTTAGCACATCACATTTTGTGCAGCACATCTCAGCTTGGAAATATACACACCATTAGCCAAAATGAACCAATTGTTCATTTCCGGTATTGTTTTTCTTTCAACAGAAAGGGGTGAAGAAAAATTACCTGTGATCCAGCATCCACCCTTCTCTCATCACTTCACATCCCTTTGCAGTTTCTTTAAGGTTAACTCTTGTTTTCTTGTATGTGTAAAAAAGTCTTTTTTTTTATCACTTTTTCTCATTGGATAAGACCGATGGTATGTGAAACTCATCGTCCTATCTCCCCATCCCGTTTCCTAATTAATAGTACAGTGCTATTTGGGCAACAATGGACCAGTATGGTTTTTTTTTAAAAAAAAAGAAAAATAGAAAAGAAAAATAGAAGCTCCTGTACAGTATAAACCAATGTAGTGAGGAGAGTGCATTTTGTTGTATCATTTCCCATTTAAAGAGCTAATAGTCATGAAGATCATTGGATGATCTTATATTAATGTGAAGGATACTAGGTTGAGAAAAGTGCTGAATTTATTCATAAAGGGGAAGCCATTTTTTATGGTGGTATCCAATTTTTGGAATGCCAAAATTGGTGCATTATTTTCAATGCCATGTTAAAATGTTCCTGTCTGCAGTCACATTTTAAAAAATTGAAATTGAAAATGAATATATAATTATCCTTGATTTTAGTTGTTTTGGAATATAAATGGTGATTATGTCAGATTTCATTTTATAGTTTTACTGTTTTGTAGTTTTCATCTGCACTGCTATGGGAGAACTTGAAGGACACATATACAAATTATAATACAAAATAATCCTATGCACATTCTGTAGTTAAAGAATACCAAAGTAACACTTTTTGATTCCTCGAAAGCTGAGACCAGTTAGTAATCAAAGATCGCCACAACACTGTTTGTAAATCTTGACATAGTTCCTTTTGTGGACTTATGCACTTCCTCAGAGTAATCAGTTTCATTGTTGCTCATACAAAAGGATTTGTCTAGTCACAAAATGTTTTTTTTTAAAACAAACACAGACATTTGATGAGAAGGAACTCCCCCTTTCCAGTATGTAGATTTTCCAATTTAATATTGTTAATACAAGAATTAAAAATGGAATCAGCTAAACAGAGAAGGGAGATGCATCAAGGTCCTGGACACAACATGGCAAAGTTATACAGGCTGTTGCACAAATAAGTTATCGCATCCTTAGTGACTGATGGTTTTTTTTTTTGATGTTCATTTGCTTATGTAACTCTACATTTAAAAGCTGTTGTAAAAGATCTGCTTTAAGGTGTTTTTAAAATAATTAATGCATGAGAAATATTGTATTATAAAGATCTGCATTAAAGGGCTCAATCTGACAAGCATCACATCAAATAAATTTATTCCTTTCATAAACTCCACATTGGACATATAATTAAAACCAAATTTTAAAAATAAGAATGTTTCATAACATGAGTTGAAACATTAATATACATGGCATTAGAAAGCTTTCAATAACTAAAACACATAATAGCATTCTCCTCATGATGTAGCAAACAGGATATAGTACTTCACATTCAGAATAATTCATTTTCATGATCTCTGCCCTGATGCCGGTAACGCCAAGGAATTTGCTTCTTATGCATGATTTGAAATAAATTCAAACAGGTAATGTTATACAATATTTTACAATAGTACTGAATTATTTTAGTTTTAAACAAGGAATTAATCATCACATTAATGACTGTGTTTTAATGATTTTGAATAAAAATAGGAACTGTTCTGTATGCCAACTTTCATGAAGTTTTTGTTTTAATTGCTAGACTGAATAGTTAATCCAGATGAGGTAGGAGATACATGGAATGGTAGGAGTTACAATAGTTTTAGCTATTTAGGTTTAATACACTCTGCCATCTTTTTCTTCTTCTATTTGTAGTACAAGGATAAAAGGAGGAATGCTGAACATATTAGGAAAATATCCAACTAAATTAAAATAAAACAGACACTATACCTTTCTTGTATGAAACACAATTTATTGATAAGGAGGAAAAGTAGCAAGAGTCTGTTCTGAAAACTTATAAGGAAATAGAGCAAATTTCCACTAAACATTAAAATAAATAGAAGTAGATTCAGTATACTGCTCTGGATTTACATAAGGGAGGTAACCGAAAACAGGTAGTCCTTGATTTACGATCACAATTGAGCCCAGAATTTATGTTGCTAAGTGAGAAATTTGTTAAGCGAGTTTTGTCCCATTTTATGACTTTTCTTGCTACATTCGTTAAGTGAATCACTGCAGTTGTTAAGTTAGTAACACAGTTGTTAAGTGAATCTGGCTCCCCCCCTTGACTTTGCTTGTCAGAAGGTCACAAAAGTTAAATCACAGTGACCCTGGGACACTGCAACTGTCATAATTATGAGTCAGTTACATCCAAAAACCATGGGGATGCTGCAACAGTCATAAGGGTGAAAAATGGTCTTGTCACTTTTTTCAATGCCATTGTAACTTTGAATTGACCATTGACCAAATGAACTGTTATAAGCCGAGGATTACCTGTAGTCGGTAAAATAGAATGATTATTAAAATAAAGCAGTTGCTTTTTGCAATTAATTTATGGTGGGTGAATTCTCAGTGTGAGAGAGAGAGAGAGAGAGAGAGAGAGAGAGAGAGAGAGAGAGAGAAGGCCAGAAAAAGCCTTTTTATGCATCGTGTAGTAGAATGAATGTATTACAGAACACTTTAAAGTGCATGAAGACTAGAGATACACAGTTCCCTGAATCCTCTTGCATAAAGCCTTTACAAAATCACATAAATCATAATACGGGTTTATGAATTTGCAGTCTAATCTGGAATGCTTGGCAACCTGTAGTAAAATGAGAACACTACATATTTCAAACCATACGTTTGCATGACCACAGGCTATAAAAAATGGGGGAAGGGGGGGGAAGGATGATTTATCAAAATTGTTATAGGTTGATGCCTAGCTTTATGAATATTAAAGGACTACATTCAACAGTACAGAAGTTGGGACTTATGCAACTAATATTCAGGTTGGCCCTTGCATTTAAAAGCATTTTAAAGAAGAGGAAAAGAGAAAAAGATATGTGGACTACAATACTGATCAGCAAAGAACACAAAGAATTACAATATATACAGCAGATTTACTAACACCAAGTGGGTCAAGGGGACTTTTGTGACCATCTGAATTTGTTGAAAGTCAACCTTCTATTTAGGAATAAAAACTAATTTTTATTTTTTAAAAAAAGAATATTATACTAAGAATATTTGTTCACTTAAGACCACATCCACTCATATTTATACTATATAGGCATAAATAAAGCTTATACAAATTGTTCCTTTTAATATATTTCTTTGTGTATTTACCATAAAAATCTCAAAATACAGTCATGCAAAAAGTAAGTACACCCTATTTATTTATTATTTTTAACTTTTTCAACATATTTCCATATACATATAGTATATTTTATTTTCACTTCAACAATATTGATAAAGGGGATATCCTACAACAAATATCAAACCTCATTTACATTTTGTAGTTCAATGTGTAAGTTAAATAAATATAAATTCAAAATTTACATGTGGAGAAAGTAAGAGCTCCCCTACATTTAGTACTACCTCAAATATTTAAAGTTTAAAATGGCAAATGATTAGAAAATAATTGGAGAGGACTGGGAGGAGCCTCTATTTAAATCCGAGAGATTCCATTGATTTACTCTTTGTTATTGAAATATATGGTATCATCACTCTTATGAGGCATTCATAAAGACGATTATAGATGCCTGCAATTTGGCAGTTCAAATCTCACCAGGCTCAATGTTGACTCAGCCTTCCGTCCTTCTGAGGTGGGTAAAATAAGGACCCAAATTGTTGGGGGCAATATGCTGAATCTGTAAACCGGTTAGAACAGGCTGTAAAGCACTGTGAAGTGATATATAAGTCTAAGTGCTATTGCGTCTGGAAAGGGATTTTAAAAGATCACCCAACAATGATTTTATTAAAAGGTGGAACAGTTTTTAAATAACTGGCAACTTAGCCAGAGCAGGCTGTTTCCACAAGTTCAGCCTAATAGCAGAATTCAAAATGCTGAAAGAAGTTTCTAAAAAACCCAGAATTTCATTGTATCACATACATGTACCTCTTGGCATGATTGATGTCAAAATATATGAGTGTACTATTATTTATTAAATTTGTTTGCTGATCATCTCACCATGAGGTGATTCTCGGTGGCTTACAAGGTTAAAAAGAATAAAACTATACAAAAACATGTCTATAACAAAGAATAAAATACTATAAAAATACAAATTATCAGCTCTAATTAAAAGATAAGGAGGAAAGTTGTAGAAGGAGCAAGGGGAGAGGTGGGCTATTTTGTTAATCTATCAACCAGTATGAATTTCCCCCATTGGAACCCCAGGCGAACTGGCAGAACCAGATCTTCAAGCTCTTATGGAAAGTCAGGGCGGTGAAAGCTGACCTCTGTTCTGTTCAGAAGAACAATGGTTGCTAGAAACTGAGACGAGATGGCTTTCAAGTAAATCCCTTTAATAGGGATTTAATAACATCTAACATTAAACAAGTAATGTGAAAACTGGCAACAACTTTCTGTCAAGCTGCTATTTATATAGCAGCTTTCAAATGGTTTAACCAATGGCACACATTTATTTTCTGATCGGCTGAGCTGTCACGTCTTAGCCAATGGGAGACGCTTCCTTGTTATGCCTAGCAATGGCGTGACTTGCGGACGCAACTCAGCATGCCTCTTCTGCTGGCGTGGGGGGTGGCATGGGGAGGGTGCAGCAGTGCAGCTCACAGAAAAACAGTGCAACATGGGCCACTCTGGGGATCCCAAAAGCTGCCTGCGCCAATACATTGTACATCAGATGTAGCTTCAGAATGCTCTTTATGGATAGTTCCATGTAGAGCAGGTTGTAATATGAGACGACTAGGGCTTGAATGATTGAGCACAGGGACTCCTGATCCAGGAAAGGCTGCAACAGGTGCACAACCCAAAGTTGTGCTAAGGTTCTTCTAGCTGTGACTGCCACCTGCTCTTTGAGTAGGAGTCATGAGTCCAAGAGACCTGGAAAATTTCAGACTGGGTCTCTCTAGGATAGTGCCACCCTAACCTAAGGATGTCAAAGTGCCAGAATTTGGGGCTCCAGGCACCCGAAGTTATTCAGTCTTGCCAGGGTTCACCCAAAGCCTGTGGCTCTCATCCAAGACCCCAAAGTCTCCAGACACTGCAAGAGAGCAGCAACAGCATCACTTGGGTCACTAGGGGTGGAGAGAGAGTATCATCAGTGTACTGATGGTACCTCAATCCATGGTGACGGTTGACCTCACCCAGCAGCTTCATGTAGATATTAAAAAGGAGTGGAGTTACTACTGAGCCCTGCAGCATACCCCAAGAGGGCAGTCATGGGCTGGATCTCTTATTCCCCATTATCACCAATTGTGACTGGCTTTGGGAAAGGAGCCAAACCAGGGCACTATTTTGCTGTCCAGCTCCAGCCCCCATAACTAGCCCCAAAAGGTAGCATAGTTAATGATAATGAATGTTGCTGAGAGGTCAAGGAAAGCAAGGATGGTTGCATTACTATTAGAAAGAAGCAAATTAGATTACACGTGACATGTGCAACAGAGGAAATTGTTACTGTCCAGAAAGAACTTTAAGTCAAGACTAAAGTTTGCTCACAAACACTTAGTAGGCAAAGACCAGGATTTATGGAACAATGTGCTCTAGACACATACAAGCCAAAGATAGAGTTATTTGGTTACTATAACAAAAGACATATTTGGCCCAAACCAAAGATGGCATTTCACCAGAAGAACCTAATAACAAACTGTAAAGAGTGCTTGAGGCTGCAATCAGGATCTGGGCAGCTCATCATCACAGAATCCACTATGAATTCTTCATTGTAACAAAAGGTGTTTGAGAATAATGTGATACCATCTTGCAGAAGACTGAAAGTCAAGCATAAGTGAAAGAGAGGGAGGGAGGGGGGGAAGGGGAGAGGGAGAGAGAAAGGAAGGAAGGAAGGAAGGAAGGAAGGAAAGAAAGAAAGAAAGAAGGAAAGAAAGATGGATGAATGAATGAATGAATACTGGAATGGCCAAGTTAAAGTATAAATCTAAATCCCACTGAGATGCTATCAGATGATTTGAAATTTGAAACAGCCCAAACATTACACAGATGAAAAAAAAAATCTGCAAAAAGTGGGGGGGAGGGGGAATTCCTCACAGGCAATGTCAGATAATAGTAAATGATTGAAAAAAGGTTAACTTGAGGTTGTTTCTGTCAAAGGGTACAGTATTAGAGACACAGATGTACTTAATCTTTTTCATAAAAGAAAATGGCATATCTTTTAATTTTCTGGTTAAATAAAATGATTGCAAAGTCATTTTTTTTCTTTTTTAAGTTCATTTAAGTCACCTTTATATATTATTTAAATTAAGAAAAATATTGATATTTCTATATACATCTATCTTAGAGAAAACTTTACACGGGGTGTACTTACTTTTTTCACATGACAGTATAGATTGGGAATGCAGTTGTTTTTAAGAGAACAGTGAATAAAAATTCAAGAAAGAAAATCATACAATCTATCATGCAGTACAAATATTTGTATAAGTGGTCCCCTAGAAATCTCTTCTGTGACCTTGAGATACTTTCAAACATCCCAGTGCTGGCTTAGCTAAACTTTTTTTTTTTTTTTTTTAAAGTGGGGCTGGAGTTCACCAATTTTTGGCGGGCAAGAGGATCAGCAAATAAATACATACCTACATTGTTCTTTGAGAACCTTTGAGCAATCCCCACTTCAGATTTTCAGCAGCTTTTTCTAAAATATAAAGATTGCTATTCCATATAAGCGCTTGTTGCTTAGGGATACCAAAACTGAAAGCGAAATGGAAAACAAACAAACAAAAACCCTGGCCCAGAGGTGATGACAGCCAATGTATCAAGATTGTGATGTCCAAAAGTAGTTCTTCATGATGTTTGGTCTCTATGCAAAACAGCATTTTCAAGATCCTCTGAGAAGTGCAGCACTAAAGAGAAAGTGGACCAAGAGCCTCATGGTTTTTGCTCTCATCCATCTGTAAGGAAGGGAAAGGGGGAAACCTCACATGCATACACTTACTTCTCTTTTAAAATTACTACAGCTGCTGTGACTATAAAGTTACATCAGGTGAGCCAGTATAGCACTTTTCCAAACATGCAAAACAACTAATTTCCTGATTTTATTTCTCTTTGAGTAGTGCATCTTCAAGGCCACGGTGTATCAACAAAAGTCTCTCTCCACTTGTTTCCATGTTCATAATTGGATTCAATTACCTCATATCCAGTGCTGGAAAATAAAAAACAAAATCCTTATTCAAAATATGAGCTTTCTTGTTTATTTATTTTTTTTACAACTACATTGAGCATCTTGCTCATGGATTACTTTTATATTTCCAGAATGAAAGGAAAGGCGAAAGGACAACTGTAACATCATCATTTCATAGGAAACTCTCTATGTAAAATTGCACAAAATTTTCACATTTATTTTCAGTTTCCCCAACATTTATTTAAATTCATTTCTCATGTGTGACAAGATAAAAACATACTGGATCATCTTGAATGATAAAAGGAAGAAAGGCTCTTTGTTTACATTTAGGGAAGATTTTTGCATGTAATGCTGAGTCATGAGGCTCCTTTTTCTACCAGATTAAATGTTGTCAACTTTCAGGGACAGCATTCAGCAACCTCAATAGATTATTATAAGAATTTAAAACCCAATGTGCATATACATTATTGCATGGCACTTTAGACTCACCAAATGTATTTAAATTAACTATAAAATTAGATAAGAATTTTGTTACCAAGTTTGAGTAAATAAATTTATTTTTTGACTGAATCTAAAGCAAGAATTTGCATGTGGAACAAACTGATGAAACACTCATCATTATCCCACTGATTAATTGCTTGACTACATAAGACCTAATTACTTATTAGTTAGGCCGCAGTGAAAGTTTAATTAATCTCGATCCCCATGTAATGGCTTTAGTATAAAATAAAAATCAATGAAGTCTGAAGTAAATAGCAAGTCAGAGTGGAATGCTGCACACACAATATGAACATTTGTTCAATTACTTTTCCTTTCAGGTGATTGATGGCAAATACGGCATTCTCTACTACTATTAAGCCAATAAATAAAAATACATTTTACAGATTGTGTGCTTGAGTCACTGCAGTCAGTTTCATAGCTATAAATTAGTGAAATGGATCTATGTTACAGAGATCTTACATACATAAAAAACAAAGATGGAAACAGTCATTTTGATTTATATATCTTTGTTTTTTATATCTGTATATTTCCATAGTACACAGGTTTGACTCACAAACACAACTGTTTTTGTTACTGAATTTAGTAATCAAAATGGCAGGTTATACCAAGTAGAACCCACAACTTAATATTAAAATGTAAAAGGCTCCTATTCCTTATACAACTACCCAGTCAGGTTCTTTAGCCTATGATATTCCACGTCTGTACCAGTCATCATATACATTCAATCCTTATTATTATGTGTTGGAAATCCCTGTTCTTCCAAATCCTATAAGTTTTCATACTTCTTCAAAAGTTGGAGTAAGTCTATTGACATTTCCCCCTTTAAATATAGGCAGCTCAGTTTTGGCCTTGAAAGGAATCATATTCAGAGAGTTAGTTTCTTCTAACAATAAATAACCTTATTTGCTGTAGACAGTGTTCCTCATCCTTTGCAACTTTAAGAAGACCAGACTAAAGTGCAGAAACATTGCTATAAGACATCAGAGCTGATTTCATGTTTTAAAAATATAATGAAAATATTAAGAGAGATTATTAGTGTTTTGCTTTATACATATAACTGTATTATTGTAAATAACTTTGAGGACTATGACAAGAAGTAACAATCAGCACTGCAACATTTGCTAGCACTAAGAATGAACTTCACACAAATAATTATACAGTTTAAGTTTTGGACAAATCTTTTGCCCAGTGAAGAATTTCCCCAGATAATTTTTCACAATTTTTCTATTGATTAAAATATATTAAATCTTAAAAAATTGCAAAATCTGAGATTGTGATGTTCTAGCTAAAATCCTTTCAAATCCCTTTTTGGGGGGGGAACCCAAAATTTTGCAGAGTTTGGTGCTATATTGAGATCTTAGCTATTTTAAAATTACTTAATTTTATTTTGGTGCCTCTCTTCAGCTTGACCACAGATAGAAGTAGCATTGTGAACCAAACATTATATCTAATGTGATACAGCCTGGGATACTTCAATATATATGTAAGAATTTATTTTAAACCTAAGTATAAATTTTCTCTGCCCAAAATGGCAGTAAACACCCCATCAAATTGAACCATTTGTCTCAAATTCCCTATATATTCTAAAGACATGGGAAATTTTTCCTTTAGACTAGTTTAGGAACAGATAGAAGCTCTTCAGCATTATTTTCATGTGGAGTTTGGCAGTTCAACAGTTTACAGACATTTTGGAGATGATTATGTTTTCTTGATATGCCAGTGTAACAACGTATATCTGGAGCAATTGTCAAAAATTACATTGAACAATAAAGATTTTGCTTCCTGAACACTTTTGGGCATATCTAAGATTTTTGGCAGCTAATCATGAAAATAATTTAACGTATCAAGTACTGTTTATAGAAATCTTCTGTTTTTGCAATTTTTTCATATATATATATATAAAAAATTTATATATATATATATATATATATATATATATATATATATATATATATATATATATATATATATATATATATATATATATATATATATATATATATATTTATATATATATATTTCTTTTGGATTCATAGGTATAAATGTGCGATATTTTTGCAATCAGGGTTTTTTCCTATGTTGAAAGATGTTAAAATGGCCATGGTGGGATGAAATCTCTATTCATCGCTTTCAGGCTTGTCAGACATTTTATGTTGTTTCTTCTGTGACTTATGGGAGACTGGGATAGCACTATTTCGGCCTTTTTAGACCTCTTCAGCCAGACACACCCATATTTTGTGACTCCTCCCTGTAGAGGTCATATATATATATATATATATATATATATATATTATTAATTTTCATTTGTGTTATAAAATGCTTGGTATAACTCATGCATGTCCACGCATGCACTTGACAAAGAGCCAAGATGGCACAGTAGTTACAATGCAGTATTGCAGGCTAACTCTGCCAACTACAGTTTGATCCTGACTAGCTCAAGATAGATTCGGCCTTCCATCCTTCCGAGCTCAGTAAAATGAGGACCCAGACTGTTGGGGACAATTGCTGACTCTGTAAACTGCTTAGAGAGGGCTGTAAAGTGGTATATAAATCTAAGTAGTATTGCTATTTCTGGAAAAGGTATAGTTTGGGCATATTTAGGGTGGCTGTATGCTGCCTGTAAAGCAGCTTGCGTGCACAGATGCTGCTCATTTCATTGATATCAGTTTCCATGTATTTTGATGCGATTGTTTCAAGACATAGGATAGTCTAGGCACATATAATTTACATAACAAGTAAGCCAGTTATAGACTTGCTATGGGACAACTAGCGATAGCAGAAATGTCTCACTCATGCTGGAACAGTTGTGATAGGTTTTACATTTGTGGCAAGTACAACTTAAGTCTCAAAGATGCATGAGGACTGGATTTGTTAAGGAAGCATATGAATTTATTCTGGTTATGAGATTGGTGATCCAGACAACTGGGTTCCTCACATTTGTTATGCAAGATGTGCTGTTCATCTTAGATCTTGACTCCGACGAACTTGGAACTCAATGTCATTTGTTATCCCAATGATATAGTGAGAACAGAATGATCACATGAAAGTCTGTTACTTCTGTCTGATTAATGTCACTGGCTCCTCTGCTAAAAATAAGACATAAATTAAAATACCCAATCTGCCTTTAGCCATAAAACCAGTGCCGGAAGGAACAGTGATGATGATCTGGATTTTGAAGTATGTTTGTCTGGTAAGCCTCATCTCATACACAATTAAAATGAAATGAACAAAAGCTGGGTTCAAAACTGCTAGAATGGTGTTTGCTATCACCAGTACGTAGCTTTCTGTCTTTCAAAGCCGTCAAGATGATTTAACAAATTTGTTTGCACAAGCTGAAACTTCGTTTTTTGTACTGACATTGATGATTTGTTCACAGTTTTGGGTTGGGAGCATGACCCACTAGATTGGCATCTCTTTACTGATTCATCAGTATTAAGTCTCAAGGCTGGCTTGTTACACAATGGCAATATACATCCTTCAGTTCCTATTGGCACACATGAAAGAAATGTATGTAAACAAGGAACTCTTGTTGAAGCATATCCAATACACCAAGTGCAACAGGAATATCTGTGATATCTAAATCTGTGGATTTAGATATCTAAAAGTACTCTGTGGATATCTAAAAGTACTCGCTCTGCTGCTTGCGATGCAGCTTGGATATATCAAGTACCGTTGTTACAAAAGCATATGCAAAAGAATCACACTGCATGGAAAAGAAATGGCTACTCCAAAAGAATTTGGTTCCAGGCCAGAAAAACGTGGTAGATGAACCACTTGTTGACCCAACAAATATATTTTTGCCTCCCCTTCATATAAAACTTGGACTGAAGAAAAAATTGTGAAAGCAATGAAGAAGGAAGGTGAAGGTTTTCATTATTTGAAACAGATGTTTCCATGAATAACTAATGCTAAAATTAAGGAAAGCATTTTTGTTGGTCCACAGATCTTCAATGAAAAGCAGTTCGAAGATCTGCCAGTAGTGTGAGACAAAATCTCCTGGAAATCATTTGAGGAAGTTGTTGAGAATTTTCTTGGCAACTGCACAGCACCAAACTGTATTCAGTTGGTCAACAAGTTAATTACAGCATACAAGATTGTGAAGTGCAACATGTCACTGAAGATTCATTTTCCGCATTCACACTTGGACTTCTTTCCTGAAAATCTAGGTGCAGTCAGTGATGAACATGGTGAAAGCTTTCATGAGAACATTGCCATAATGGAAAATCAGTATCAGGGCAACTGGAATTCATCAATGCTGGCTGACTATTGTGGACACTGCAGTGAAATGCATCAGACATTTAGTACAAGTGAAAATCAACAGCAAAACACTTTTAGGATGTTGAACTTGGTGCAGTATGTTGGAAACATGATGCAATTAAATAAATTATAGTCAATAAAAGTTAATTTCATATTTGTCAAGATTACTATGATCTTGAAATCATATTTGTGTTCAGTCTGAAGGGGTCTAATCATAATCATCAAGAGATTTTCAGGAAGCAAAACTTTTGAAAAAATTTATGCAGTGTAATATGTGCCAAGATTCTTAAAAATAAGAAGAGCAATAGTTTGGTGTATTTTGCTGCTGCACATTAGAAAAGAAACTTGGTTGTGAGATATAGGAGCATAAGTCATAATGTAAACTCTATATCATAACCAAGCTGACAACTATTCATGTCTTATTGGGATAAGACTACAACACTAAATCATGTATTCCAAATTCTATTTTAGAAAGATGTAGAACAAAAGAAAATGTATGTCATGTTGACAAAAATGCACCCAAAATACAGACAATGGCTACTCACCATCATCATTCTAACATTACTCCTTTTGCATCTTTTGAAAAAGCAAGCAAAAAGTTAGTAATTAGTCAAACAAACAAGAACAGAATAGTTCAAGCATGCCATAGTTCCATGTAACATGAAAGAAATGAGAGCACCAACGTTAACAAAAATCCCTCTGGATAATCAAAAAACAATTAACATTCCTCTTGATTTTATATCAGCAGAAGTGCTTTCAAATCAGCTGAATCAAAATAAGAAATTGGATATCCAATAGCAAAACAAAACAAAGCCAAAAAGAAAAAGAAAAAGCACAGCATAATCCCAGAAATTCATGCACCCCATGCAAAAGGCAGGGTAACATCTACCTTTAAGAAGAAATCTGCTTTCACATTAAGAGACTGATTCTTTTGGCCAAGCAACATATACGGTCACTATCCCATTTATCCTAAAAAAATACCATCCAGTAGACATACCAAAAACTACTGCACCGCAAAGTATTTAGTAACACTTGAAATGACCAGAAGATCACCAGTGATTTGATGCCATGATTCATGTTACATTATCCTGCATACATGTCTATTTCTAAATGGCACCAGCAGTCATTGTCTGATGTTAATGAAAACACCAATTTCAACTTTCCCAAACTAGACAAAATTACCACCTACCATTAAGTGATTCTTCAACAGCTTTCTGTAAAATATTTAAAATACATAAAGCTTTCAAGTCTACTTTGGAGGTCCAAAATTTAAACAACTCTAATTGATATATACAATAAATAATGATTCTATAAAAGAAATAAAAGAGGCAGCAAAACATTAGAAAGATTAGTGACAGGTTTGGTTATTTCCAGGCTATAAATGATGATGACATGCCTGCTTCAGAAGTACTTCAGTGGCAATAGCTTCTCTTTGCAATTTAACCGTAATGCAGAAAACAAACACCACAAAGAACAAGTAGCTGTATTCAGCAAGATCGCGTCTGCAATGACAACTGTGGAATACATTTCATTTAACTGGTGGCAAACTACAAATCACAGAAACAAACTGAAGAACCAAATCTTTCAAACACATCATCAAAACTTTGACAAAGATAGTATCAGTTATATTTTTGTCAAAATACTGGAATACAACAGCATTATTGCTTTAACCGTGACAGCTCCCCCACACAAAGTATAGCTAAGGAAAGGGATGTGATGAACTCATCAGGAATATACAAATGCTGTAATTGAAAACTACCAATAGGCACCCCTTTTCTTTTTATTTCAATTAATTTCAATCTGTTCATTATTTTTTAATGATGTCACTAAAATGGCCCAAAAATACCAAAATAATAATCTTATGAATGCTTTATTTAACCACATTCATTTTGGCCAGGCACTATTTAAACTGGACTAAAGTTTGTCTATGTATGTTGTATGAGACACAAAGCATAGATCTCAGTGCCTACTTTCTATTTGTATATATTTTTTTCAACCTGAATCAATCCACTGGCCTATTTGTCTAGTCCAGTAAAGGCTGGTAGATAGGTGCTTTCTACTTTCCAGTCTAAGGCTGAGAGTGAGTGACTGGCCCAAAATCACTCAGTTGGTTTGTCTGGCTAGGGGGGGGACTAGAACCTGTGTCTCCCCAATCTTACTCCAGCACATTCCCCACTGCACCACACTGGCTCTCAGAGAGATAATAGGTTATGTTGGTATATTGAGAGACAAGACATGCACAGACACACATGCTTTGCATACACAGAGAAAAACTGAGTCTTTACCAGTTAATGATTGTATTTATATGTTTCTTGTTTTCCTGATTGCTGAATTATACAGATAATTTAAGAACTTTTCAGAAAAAGGGCACACAATAGAATAAGATATAAATCATTTAAGAAAAGAATACAGCCTAAACCGGGATGCCCATAAAACCTGTATTAAAAGGATTTGTATTGCAGATTATGTTTTCATGTATTGTTAGAAAACTAGTAATAATATAGACTAGAAATCAGGTTTAGGGATTATTTCAAATTTAATGAATCTAAAGATTTGGCTAATGCCATTGCAGAAGTAATGCCATGCTATGGTTAAAGCAAGCCAGAAGAGATGGATTCACAAATAGGACATGGACAGGTATAAGAAATGTGTAACCCAATTTCTGCTCTGCTATTTTAAAGTTAACTTCTCCACTATGTCCAAGTGCAAAACTTGACACACCCACAATAGTGCATGCACATTATACACCTACTTTAAAGAAAAAGGCTAGAAAATTCATTTGTTGCCAGACTAATAAAGAAACCAAGCCAAAAAGTGGTTGAAGTTTGATGACTGAATTACAAGTAGTCCTCGACTTACAACCATCAATGGGAATCTGCCCATTTACATTTGTAAATTGTGAAGTTGTAAAACCCATGTGACCAACCCAATTTTGCAATTATTATTTTTTGCAGTGCTCTTAAAGTGGATGTTGTGGTCACAAACCAACTGCCAGGGTTGTTAAGCAAACACCACAGTTATTAAGCAAACTAATGATTTGTTATAGGTTGGTTTTTGTGGAAACCAGAAGTAAATGCTGTTTTTCACTACAAATGCAAAACCCAGTTTATATGACTGCAGAATGCTGCAACTAACTATAAATACAGGCTGGTTTCCAAGTGCCTGACATGCGGTCACATGTTCATGGGAGAGGCTGGTGGCCATCGGAACTTTGGAGTCATAGATATCCGAGGAAGTCCACTGTAACCTCAAATGGTTGTTAAGTGACCAGTCATAAACCAAGGACTACCAGTATTAAAAGGATTTGTAGTACAGCTTATTTTTTCATGTACTGTTGGAAAACTAGTAACAATAAACTCAAGTAGTACACTGAGTTTACAGAAAAGACCTAGAACATCCTATCTGCATTTTATTCGACATGGCTTTGCAACTGTGTTCACAGGTTCAACAATCTTCCTATGTTCCATGCATATCAAAGAGAAAGAGCATAATAAAGGCAGCATAGAAGAAAGACAGTAGAGATGGCATCAGTAACCATCTCGGGCAGCAGCTACTCTTGGGGAATTTTGCATCGTAATTAATTAATGAATTAATTTCTATAGCCACCCATCTCAATCAATGACTCTGGATGGCTTGCAATTCCAAATCTTGCGATTTCATGAGATCTCGTTAAGAACCAAACAATGTTGTAATATTTCAGATGTATTTGTTTGTTTCTGGATGGCCAGTTTAGCACACCCTCTGAAGCTGTCCATAGATTTGCATTACCCATCACTAATGTGAAGTCATGCTGTCTTCTATAAATCATTTCTAGGAACAATTTTTCAATATAGCAGAATAATGCATATCTATAGTTGCAGTTTCATAAAGATCTTGTAGTATAAAGAAGTACCTAGTAGAAAGCAAGAAGCAAGGCTTGGGAACACTGTGGACATGCACACAATTATTTTCTAATCACTTCGTAGTATGATACTGGCTTTCTTCAATTATCCAAGAATTTATAGGGGATCACGCAAGACAATAATTCACATATAACGTATTTGCATTGCCTATACCAGTTATCCAAAACTTAGCAAAATGTCTATCTTAAAAATGCAAATGTTCATCCAAATCAACATAGCAGTGAATCTTTGAAATATGTTCAATAATTAAATTATGAAGTAGAGATACACAGCAGAAGAAAAGAAATATAGGGAATTAACCCACAAATTGATTTAATTTGTTAAATTTTATTTTAGTCAGGTGCACATTTAACTAAGCTTTTATTTTGTCCAACTTCTTTGTGTTAGGTTAGCTACTTTTTTGATTTGGTCACTGACATGCCACCCAAAATTGGTCTCCAGTTAGACTGGGATGAAGTGGAGGATTACAGTAGGCAGCACTCTTAGAGAATATACATTGGTTTAGCTATTCTTTAATAACTAAGCATGAACAAGTCAATTGCGATTTCAGGGTTCAAACCCTAAATTAGCATGATTTTTTTTCCCCAACATTTTTGGATTTTGTTTTTTAAATCGTATTTGCTCCGTAAATGGTATTTTAGTTTTTTATTTTTAATATAAAAAGAAAGAAGAAGAAAAGATAGGTGAGACTGTATAATGACACACAGAAGAAAAAAGAAGAAAGAAACCAACACAAATGAGTCCACTGGAGTTGGATAGCTTATACACTCAAATAAAAAAGAATGAATGAATGAATGAATGAATGAATGAATGAATGAATGAATATGTAATTAATCTATTACATGCAGACAATAATTCAATCTAATTGGTACCTCATTAAATCTTCACCATATGGAATAATATAATAATACTGATCACCCATTGACAAAATATCCTGATTCCAGTGGATAACTGATCAAGCTGCAAGTCAAGTTTGCATTTTGCAGTTTCAATATGAAACAGGGTATGAAAAGATATTGCCAGAAAGACTTCTTACAGTGTAGAATGAGAAATGTGGAAACCCAGGTTTAATGAGTTCCAAGAGAGTTGATACAGACTTGATGGCACATAATCAGTAAAGATCCTTGAAGAAAGTATAGATAGCCAGTTGCTGACAACACACATTCTTGCCACTCTTTTGCTTGCTACCAACCTGCAATTATGAAAGCTCAGCATCTCATTATAAATTCCCCGAGCCATGTAGACACCCCAAATACATTAATGGTAAGCTTACCCTTGGAGGTTGATGATCTTTCAAGTTGGAACCTAGGTTAAAAATATAGAACATATTTTCTGATTAGATAACTAAAGCACAAATATCGGATCACTTTACACGGGTGATATCATCAGAATTTAAACCGAGTGTCTCATTAATTATTTTTAAATGAGGGTTTATTTCTATCTTTCAGTTATTACAATATGACATCTTTTGTAAGCTAAATTAAGGGGGAAAAGTAAGAAGCAAGCCACTGCAATGTTAAGGAAAACTCTAAATAGTTCAATTGCCTAAGACAGGAATGAAGACTTAACTGAAAACTAACAAACTCTCCTTCTACAATCATTTTTCTAAAACAGGGTTAATCTATCAGAAATCTGATGATTCCAAAAAGGGATTTAAACACTTAGCCTTCAAATGTTAATATATATTTCTCAGATATGATTTGCTACAGGTTCATTTTCTTGTATCTGGAGCATAAACACTGGGACTCCCACCTTACAGAAGACATAGGAAGAAAATTGGGCAACTGTAACAATTCTAATAATGGTATACAGGAATTGAAGATGATCCTGAAATTACTATCTAATCTGACCACATGAAACAATTGTTTCTTAGTTAATAGTTCATCTTTACTTCCGATCTCCTAGAATCTAAGCATGCAGGTAAAAAATTAATGTTGCATTAAAATAGTCTCAACATTCTATGTTCACCCCACATTTTTTGTTCCTTTTTGATGTTAGATGCATGAAGGGGAAAAGAAGAATTTTTGGAAGAAAATATTAAGTTGTTCTTTAGATATGTGAAATCTATTCATACAGTATCTACTAATTACAGACACTGTATGATGGAACTGCATATGTGAACTGGCTTTCAGGAATACACCAAACAATACTTATTGTAGACTGTCATCCTTGATTTTTTTCTTTCTGTTCATTGAAGTTTTTTTCACACTATAATTTAATTATTTGATTTATATTTTCCATTAGGTGCAGTTATTTGTAACAAAACAATAGGATATAAATATTTTTAAACTGACTATGACTACATTTCAGCTGGCACTACATATAAGGGCAATAACTTTCTACATCAAAGCTGGCTCAAATCATTTATTATTTAATGCAGTTTTAGATTGCTTTATTTGTTATTTCAAAGCAGTCTTTTATCAGCACCCTCCTACACTAAAATCTTGCTGTTTAAATCAAGATATAATAATGGGACATCAAAATTAATTCTACTGTAGAACAAAGGGCCACATAAAGCGAAGCTCTGGGAATTTGGAAAGAATTTGTATGCACGATAATCATATTTGAGCCATCAATTTGAGTTCTCTGAAGCTCCTTTAAACTGTGCCACTGAAATTCTATAGCAAAATGACTATTTTATTGGATTTTTAACTAACTGCATTTAGTTTAAACTGTTTTAAACTAAAATAGAATTTATTTATTGGACTTCTATGCTGCCCATCTCAATACTACAGCGACTCTAGCCAGTTTACAATATAATAAAGGTTAAAACGTGCAAAAAGCAATTTAAAAAGAGTAAAAAATTAATAAAAATTAAAACCAAAATTATACGCAGCCTCTGGGAAAGAATCTTCTCTATCCTATCAGACCCCCTTCAATGTAGAGGACCCCTATAGGGCCACAGGACAAGCAGCAGGGCCAAGTATTTAGGTTCTTCTGGAAGGCCAGGAGTATTGGAGCTGATCTCCCCTTTGACAGGGGAATATTCCAGAGGGCAATTATATCATGAATTATATCATGGGTAGTTATGTCATGCATGAGCAACCTTGCCCTGCATCTCATTTTAAGGCTCCAGAGTACCTATGGATTGCACTATAGAAATTTCCTGATAACTCTGCCAATATTATTTGATGTAATTTTCTCAAAAATGGCAACAAGTTTTAAATCTTAAGCAGTGGTGAAATGTAAAATTTGTTACTACCGAACAAATGTTCGGCCGAAGAGGTTGTAGAAAAAATGCTTTTAAAAGCCTCTGACGATCCCAGTTGAGTTGCCTGATCGGTAGCGGATTTTTTTTCTTTTAAAAACATTTTTTCTACAACCTCTTCGGACAAATTTTTGTAAAAAAAATTGCTTTTAAAAGCCTCTGACGATCAGGCAACTCAGCTGGGATCGTCAGAGGCTTTTAAAAGCATTTTTTCAACAACCTCTTCGGCCGAACATTTTTTTTTTTACTTTTAAAACCATTTTTTTCAGCCAGAGGTTGTAGAAAAAATACTTTTAAAAATAAAAAAAAAAGCCTCTGATGATTGCGCAGCTCAGCTGGGCATGGGGGGGAGCGGGGGGCAGGGATTTTTGTTACCGGTTCTCTGAACCACGTGCCGCCATTGCTACCGGATCGGGCGATCTGGTCCGAACCGGAAGCATTTCACCCCTGATCTTAAGCCATTCAACCTTGTACACTGAGTATGGTCTCCTTCCAGAAAAAATTGTTTGGATTTCTTTTTATTGTTCTTCTGGTTTAATACTATTACTCTAAATACCACACTGTCCTTCTGGTCTGGTCACTATCCTATTCCCTCTAGCCTTAGGAGGCCAACATGAGGAAAACTGATCATCACTGCAACAGAGAGTACTAAGCTAGACAGACCAAGTGGTTTGAACAAAAATAAAGCAAGTTGCAGAACTTCTGTCTGCTGACTGCACAAATGTATTATAATTATAATTAAGTTCCAAATGGGAAATATATAACTTACAGGTTGTAGGGTTACCATCAACCCAATATAGTACACCTTTTTCTCTTTGTACTATAATAAAAATAAAATTAGGTACCTGATACACCATTGGAAGATTGTAGCATACAAACCAATCATATATGATGAGAGATGTCTCTCACTGAAAAACATGCGTAACAACGCAATGCACGAATAAATTAATGGAAAACATATAGTAAAAAGTAATTCTAAATGTAACGCTTGAGTAGATAATTCTGGACTCAAGTACTTCTCTGTATTTGATATAACTCAGGATTAAACAGCCACTATTGAATAGTGCTTGTTTGACTTTTACTTGTTTAAATAGTCAGAGTTGTGCCTTTGCTTATATTTCTACCTATCATGATCAGTTCTCTATCTATGCAGCAGTGAGGATTTATGCACAACAAAAATCATCATTGTCTGAAGTAACTATTGGGAATGAAAACTCCAGTCGCAGCAGGTTCTTCATCATACATATTACGAACATTTTCTATAGGCACAAATTTAAATATTCTATGAACAGAAACAGAATGGTTGAAATTCACACACTAATCCAATATTTTAAATATGGTTTGCTAAACAAGCCATAGTGCCCTGGTCTACACAAAAAACTATGATGTCATCTCATGACAAAACATAAGCTAAGAGTACATTATGCTTAGCAGTGTATCTGAATCAATTAAAAAGAGTAATTCTGTGCAAAGTAAAGAAAGTATTTATGGCATTGCATGCAACGATAATACAGCAGTCATCTTCAATTTTTTATGATACTGAATATTAGAACATGGATAAATGTCCACAATCAGCTGATCATCTGTACTCCTCTTAATTATGTTGAACCCTCCTTTAATTTTGGCAGCTTTTAATTAATTTATGTCATAAATTAATATTCTAAATGTCATAATTTTTACTCTTTCACTCTAATCTATTATAAACTTTCTTAATTTTCCCCTAATTGCCTGAAGCTTCCAATATTCAAATGTAAAAGTATGGCATTTTATGTATTAATAAAAATAAGTAATAAAATGCAAATGAAATGTTCCTGATAAAGGGTATATTAAAGCATATTCTAGTTGTGGATCATATGAAATATATCATACAACTGTTAATTCAGCTGAAGGTCTTAAGTGTTGTTGTGGTGTTGTTATTGAGTCTATAACCAACCACACAGTGCTATACTAGCTTTCCCAATAACCAAGGCTACATTTTCTAACTGCATGTTCATTAAGCAATATCTTTTGTCAGAAGACACTTAGCTATGTAGTAGAATAGCATATATTAAGTATGATTCATTCAGATATTTATATGCCTAAGCATAGATATATGATAATGATTTAAACTAAATGGGTAAAAAAAACCATGTGACCCTGGATGATTGACTGGATTTAATTGCTGTATATGTGAATCACGTACAGGAGGAAAAAGTATGGTCTTTGGACACTGATTAAAAACAATAACCTTGTAAATATAACATATGACTGATGTGCCATGATAGGCCACACATCGTATTAACTTTCTTCATTCGCAAACAATACTATGATCCAAATATTTGTTTTGTTAAAAAAAGAAAATTATTGAACAAGAATCTCTTTAAAAAATCAATAATTTTCTTAACTAAATACTTATATCTCATATAAGCTTAATTACATATATATATTTAAATATACTTTAGGCAGCAATTGTGATCAAGAGGGCTTTCACATAGATTGAACACTGTGCTGGTTGTGCCTGTTCCTGACTGTTCAGACAATCACTCACATCCTAGGCACCTCATAAATGGGTAACTGCAATGTACTCCACATCAGGCTGTCTGTAAAGGCCACACAGAAGCTACAGCTGCCGCAGAATGCAAGCATGCCGTATTATGCTGCCCAAAGTGATAAGCATGCCATATTATGCCCATGTGATGGTAGTGCTCAAGTGTAATTCCAGGTGACAGTTATTATATAAAAAGTCTATTATGACATACAACCTGGATATTGTTGCTGAATGTACTATATTGGGTTATAGCTGAATGTTTCTGCCCATTCAGTGTCACTGGGCAGAGTGGGATGCCTTCAACGAAACAATAGCTTCACTATTGGGACCTAAGAAGTGCATTCCTCTCTAACAACACCTGCCTTCTGGAATAGCATCCCACCAGAGCGCCATACAGCTGTCACCCTGATGACATTCATAAAATCTCTGAAAATGTGGCTATACATCCAAGCCTTGGGATACAGAAGTAATTGAGTTGGATATTGTGCCATTACAGAGTTTGCCTTCTGAATGCTGATCATCTGTTTCTTTTTCTTTTTTTTCTTTCATAATTCTTGGGGGGGGGTGTTGGTTTTTTTAAGAAAAGTAACCTACCCAGAATCATCTGGGGTCAAATAATCTTATGAAATAAATGAGCAAACATTTTCTACAGAAACTACTTACCAATAATAATAATGTAAATTAAGCCAATTGCTGCTACAGCACTAATAATTGCTAAACCTGCAATTAGAACAGCTCCATATTTCGGCAGACATTCTGTTGAGAGTAAAAAGATGGGCATTTAAGTTAGCGGTGAAAGATTATGAAAGAGGGGGCTGGTACTTTCACCAGCTCTGAACAATATTGTATAGATGTTTGAGTGTTCATACACTTTATATTTTTCAGACACGATGGTAAAACATGCAAGGACATCTTGAAATTATATACATAAATGAGGCTTGATTTTTTTCATGGCTTTACTATATAAAAGTTAGAACTAACATTTTTTTTTTTTTATGGCAGAATAGTTTGTGCATGAGTCTGCTTAACCTGTATAGGGAAGGTTGCATCAGTTAAAACAGTTACATAACAATTAAACATTTCCAGATTAAGAAGCAACCCACAACCCAGAGGCTTGACAGGCATATCTGGAATCTCAAGAGAACTCAAAATTCTTACAAATATATGCCATGAAGGAAGCCTGACATGCATGACAAAATGTCTGTCATGGTAACATATCTGTTCTCACAAACGCTGATTCATCAGATATCAGCGTACAGTAGTCCACAATAGTGAACAAAACTGTAAGCTCAAAAATGATACTATTTAAATTGTATCAAAATGCTTCACAGCTTATATTATAAAGAACTTCCATATCTGGGCTTCAAAAAAGTGCAATAATCACTAGGTGGCAGCAAAGAGAGTTTTATCTGTTATTTGGAATTTTACAGCTCTGATATGGTAGCCCCATATTAAGGCAGTATCTTTATTTATAGATTTATTTGTTATATTTGTATCCCACCTGTCACACAAGCACGAAAGGTGGGAAACATGAAAGCAATGCAAAAGATATAAAACACTAATCTTGGTCAAAAGAAACAAATCGCCAAATGTAATATTTTTGTCCTCTTTGGCAGCTCCTTAAAGCATCCATGTCTTTTCCCAGAGTTAAATATCAGCTGCAAACAGCTGCTTCAGCAAAACTCCAGGAAAAACCTATGCTTGGCTTTAGAAGATGCGATGGATGCTTACATGCAGGCCACTGTGCAAAGTGCCTTTTCCCTCTTGAAACTGAAGCCATGCACAACCATAGCACGTAGCAACTAGAAGGAAGGGAGGAAGGGAGTGACGGAAGGACCACGCTGAAATGGGTTAAGAAGATAGAAAGGAAAGCAAAGGGGGGGGGATGAATAAAAAGAATTAAGAGAAGGTAACGGGGGGGGGGGGAAATCATTGGGCAAGGAAGGAAAAAACCAGAGACAGCATCACAAAGGCAAGCCCAAATTAAGCTACAGCTAAGCTAATCTTCAAAGGTATTCATTCTTTTCAGCAATGATGCTTGCGATAATTTGCACTTTTGATTTATTACCTTCTTTTCAAGACCATGTAAGATGATGCTGAGCTGCAAGGGCCAGCATTCTTTCCCATGCTAACTAGGACACTGGAAGTCCAGAAGCATTTGATATGGGTTGATAATATCTGAAAAGTATTGAATTTGATATAGACATATAGCTATGCTTTGTTGTATTTTTGTTTTAGTTTGTGATAGCCACAGTATAAAAGTTAAGTAACTTCTTCAGAACCAAGCTGTAACACATATTACTTTGATAAAGTACATAGTTTACCTGTCACACACAAAGCAAATCCAGCCACAGCAATTACATATCCAAGTGCTTTCAGAGCTAGCAAAATAACTGCAAAAAGTGGTTGCTTCTCAAAAACTAGGGAAAGAACAATAATGTTACTGAGAAAAGAACATATTCAGAAACAAATGAGAAATAGAACAAGTCAGGATCTTAAAAAAAATAATTTAAACTTGTACAAATATGTCTCTGGCATCGGGTGTGAAGCAGATAAAGGTATCAGGATGGATGAATGAAATAATCCCAAGGTAACTTGTTTTATGTGCAACTCTCAATTATTTTTTCTTGTGTTCAATTGTGTCCGATTCTCAAAGAGTGCCAGGACAAGTCCCTAAATTTTCTTGGCAAGGTTTTTCAGAAGAGGCTTGCCATTGCCTCCTTCCTAGAGCTGAGAGAAAGTGACTTGCCCAAGATCACCCAGGTAGTTTTTGTGCCTAAGGCAGGACTACAACTTCTGGTCTCCTAGTTTCCACCCTGATGCAATCACTACACCAAGGAGGCTCTCACAACTCTCAGATATGTAGTAGAACAGAATTTGGATACTAAAGGCCAACAAACAATGCTGGCTGGCACAAGAGTATATGGAACTTCTAGGCCACACTGACTTATGGCTCCATCTTCTGCTGATGCAAAGATTTCCATATTTAAAATGATTGGTATTGGTGCTTTCTAAGCTTTGCTGCTCTAAGCTAGTGCCTACTTGGCCTTAACCTAATGTCAACCCCGGCAACAAGTACAGCCCATAAACAGTCCATCAGTTATTGTACACCTACTTATAAACAAAAATTTTGTACATTTTTTCCCAGAGGGTATTTTTTAGCTCAAATTCTTCTCTCACAAAGGACAGTAAAAAGTCATCTCTTCACTTCAAGAAAAGTGATACTTTGATCTCCTTGGCAATATCACAATTTGGTACTCTGGTACCAATTCAAAATCCTTCTCCCCAAATGTTGTCTAAAATTCAATGAGAATACTGTTGTTCAATGCCAATAGATCTCTACTAATTTTATGATTTCTTTCTCTTCTGCATTCCCCCTGCACATTCAGTTACATTTAACTTAGTCTATAAAAAGAAATACAGTGATCAAATAAATTAGAAGATTCTCACCTGATGTGAACAGGAAGTATAAAAGAGGCACTACGATGATTGCAGGGACGACAATGAGGCCAATACCAGTTTTAACCAATGCTGTATATCCACCTGGATGAGGTCAATTTTAAAAAAAAAATCAATCCAGTCTTTATTGTCAAACTATTATGTAAGAATACTATTTATATTAAGAATAACTTCAGTGGGAATTACAATAAATAGACCATCAAGTTTAAGCCAAAGGATATTTCTACTTTTTCCAAGTTGTCTTTTTTTATTTTATTCCAATATAATGGGCTGGAGGACCTGTGGATTTCCAGATATTGAAGAACCACCATCATCCCTCCCCCCCCCCATTAGCCACACTGGCTAGGAATAAAATTGCTACATCTGAAGAAAAAGATTGCCCCTTAGCTCTAAAATTTGCAACTAATAAAGCTACAGTTGGAAAGTAAGAGGGAACAAATTTGAGTTGTGACTAGTTATATACCTTCATCAATTCATATTTAATCTATATAATTTTTGATATGTCACTAATTATTAGTTCTTAATTAGGATGCAATATTAACATTGGAAGACAACATGTAAAATAGCTTATTATAAGAATTTCATACTTGGAAATAATTGTGATGATTGTATTCTAAAATTAGCAGAAAATTATGAAGGTGACCTACTTAAGTGCCTCCTGAGGGGAACAACAGCACAAGAGAAATACCATTTTCCTATTAAATGTTTACCCAATAGTAAGGGGAAGTTATCCTACTAACACAGGAAGAAAATATTAATGCAAATATTTTAAAATGACAAGAATTAATACTGGACATGCTTCATCTATATGAACCATTCTATATTTTAATGAAGGATTTCTACTCTTTCTAGTCTCAATGTTGGCTGTTTATGACTGCAAATTAGCTGAACAAATAACAATGCATGTAAGATTCCTTTTATTTTATATTTGTGGTGATTTATTAAACAAGAAAAATAAAAATGTATGTTTTGTATACTAAAGTAAAAATCAGGAAGGACAGTGAGAGGAAACCATGACCAAATATTTCATGACCTCAGAGATACATATGTTTTTATAATATTTCTAATAAATAAATATTTAATATGTAGCAAGAATAATATATACCAAGTGTATTCAAAAGATATGTTGAACCTATAAAACTAGGACAGTTACAGTAACAGAAATAAAAGTAGTAATTTAATCAGGGGTAGGAGTAATATCTTTAATTCACTTGGTGACATTTTGAATCTTTCAGACATTAATTTGCCTCTTTTTATGTAAAAATTATTATCAGTCACATACTGGCTATTATCAAATTCAGTCTTGCTATATGTAGCTTAAGGCCCAATTTAGCTTAATGGAGTACATTTATTTATTAAAATTCTTACCTTGGACATAAAAAATGGTACCAATCACAGCAAAAATTGATATTAATAGTCCTGTAACACTTAAGCCAATTTTCTTTTCGAACGTCATGTCAAACTTTTTAGCTAAAATAAAAATAAAAAATAAAAACAACAATTAGAGATTAAACACTTAAGTAAGTATATGGCTTTCAAATTATGCTTTTGAACAGCATCAACTGAATATGAATGCTGTATGTATATATGTGTGTATGTAGAATTTTGTTTAGATTACATTCCCATATTATTTATTTATTTACGCCCACTGCTCCTACAGTTTTACAAATTATAGAAAAAACATGAAAGCTCACACAAAAATCAATGCACATTTCTAATGTATATATTTTCTATTTATTTTCTCCTAAGGAAATGATTTTAATCTAGTACAAAAAAATTTTTGTACAATATGCTTTGATTTAAAAATTAAGTCAATTTAGAAATTTAGCTAATCCAGAGGTATGGAGGAGGAGGTGTCTTTCTTTTCCTGGAAATGCTCTAAAAGTAGCAGCTGGACAGCCATCTGATGGGGCTGGTGTGACCTGAATTTCTGCACTGAGCAAGAGCTTTGGACTCAATGGCATGTAGTATATGGCCTCTTCCAACTTTTATTTTTCATCCGCTTTGCAAAATTCTGAAAAGCTTGGATTTAAATGAAATCCAGGTCACACGTAGGTTTGGGAGGTGCAAATTGTGTATCTCTAGCTTTAAAACAATCCAGAATGAATTTTGTAAGGCAAAATAACCCTTACACTGCCGGAGATTTAATCTTAAAAGATCACACATAAGGGAGATTAACAAGAAAACAATTAAAACAACCACCTCAAAAGAAAGATAGACAAAGTATGTGTGTGTGTGTGGGGGTGAGACCCAGAAAACAAACTTGCACATTTCTTAGGCATGCCTGCTCCTTGGAAGAGTGTACCCCCCCCCCCCACACACACAGACAAAGAAAATTCTGTATAATCCCAATCTTGCTGTCTGTTGGGAGAGTACTTAAACCTTCCTAACTAAAGCTCTCACAGGCTCTGCCGTGACATTAATCACTGAACAACTTCTATGTAACTTTTTAATTGTTGCACATTTTACCTCTTTTTTTTTTCCTGGTGTGCTAATCTTTTATACTATTCTTTCCACAGATCATTTTTAATTCTTTGGAAGAAGTCTTGGCAAGTGGGCAAGCTTTACAAATTGATTAAACAATAAAAAAATAAATACATTCAGCTTCCCTATTTATTATCCAAGGCTTAGCATTTCCAACTGAAATCGTCATATAACCTAGGTAGCAGTCACGGAAAAATTTAAAACAAACAAAATACAATTAAAAGTCGAATATCTAGGAAAATAGAAGAATCATGGAAAATAGAAAGGTCTTGACCCAGCACCGAATAATGCCAATGTGCATGCTAATGGAATCTTCTGGAGTGGGAATTCCACCAATGAGATTTCGCCTCAAAAAAATCCTCGGTTCTATAGGCTGTTAGAATTACGTAAGATTCCAATACCACTGTACTTGTCAATAAATTGTACCTCCCTTGTCTCAATCTAGGTAAGGCTTATCTACTAGGCAACACTTGCTTTGGTTCTTATAATCCAGCAAGATGTAGTGTTTCAAAGCTTGAAAGAAAGACATGAAAAGCCAGTCTCAATGTAGGCATCAAGCTGCTAAGTATGTTAAACTAAAAAAAAAAATTAAACAAACAAGTTTACAAACAATTTGTTGAGAAATTAATGCAAATCACCAGGAAATATAATGATTTTGTTTATTATTTGTATGGAATGATAGCAATTTCATTAAATATAATGAGCAGCTATGACTAATGATATAATAAAAACATAAAAAACTGTAACGATCAATTTATAATCATTATGAAGAATAATAATAGATCTACAGACTCACTCATGATGTGTGACTGCTACAGCTGGAAAGGCTGTAACTCTTTAAGTAGTTTATAACTCTTGTACTTTAAGTAGTTTATAAACCATTGTGATATTCCATTAAAGGCAGGAACTGAGAAGAGTCCCTCCTCCCACCTTCATCCAATTCAAGCTGCTGATCCTGGGATATTATATAAACAAGTTTATTGGTTTGACCTGGGATTTAGATCTTCCACCTAAAAGCCTTGGGAGAACTGGAATCACTACAATAAAGCTGCCAAAGATACAAAGGCATAGGTGCTTACCTATTTTTAAACAGTTTTTTTTTGTTTTGTTTTTTGCTCACTTAGCTTTATCTTTGCTTCCTTTACTTGTCTTTCTGTTTAATTGCCTGGTCTGTTTAATGATTAAAGATTTCTAGATCAAAATATAATACAAAGTTCCTCTAAATGGATCAACAGTGGAGCTTGTTTCATCACTGGTATTTACTTAATTTCCTGTAAACTGTTCCTGGTACGTGAATCACTTGCTCTTTGCAAGCAAGTCTGGACTTTTTATGTTGTCATAGTTATGATTACAGGATCAAAGCTACAATACCTTGTACTTCCCTCAAATAAAGGCAGCTCGAGTTACAAGATGCTAATATTGCAAAATTTACTTCAACTAAATTTAGTTGGAACTGTTAATGTTAATAAATATCTCAGACTAATTTACGCTGGTTTGAATGAAACATTGCATAAGGCAGACATACAGTAGCACAGGTTAATTTAAAATATTTACTTTCTAAAATATAAGATTCGTATCACTGATTTAAACAAAGATTTTAATTTGAAAGAAAGACATAGGGAGGCCAATATTGCCACTATATGCCATTAATGATTTTTTTTTTGCAATGTACTTCAAATTATTAAACACGTTTTTTCCTATATGCTATACTATCAATTATTGCTTACTAGAGATAACCTATCCAAACTGTAATAATTATCTTGACTACCAGGATTTCCCCAATAGATATGCAAGTCTGCCTTTTTACCAGCAAAAGCAAGGATTTTTTAAATGGACTATTCCAACTAGTGGTTGGTAAGGTCATGTACCTGTCAGGGTTCCGACGGATGTCTATGGCAACTTGAGAGCAGGCCAGGGATGCTTTGCGAGTTGACATTAGCTTCTAAAAAGAGGCATTTGGAAGTACCGAACACTATTACCAACCATTCTTATTTTTGCCAGAGGCTCTTTTAACAAACTGGCAGATACATTTCTGTTATAGACACTACAGTTTTAGATATTGCATGAACCAGGAGACTCAGCATGTTTTTTGATATGTAAGAGAAAATACACCTTATCAATCAATATTATCACTGTAGCTGTTGCACAAGGCAGAAAAAACACAGCATGGTTTTTGATATATAGAAAGCAATCAGTTCTAAAGAACAACTTTTAACAAATGAAAAGCTACTAATAATTTCTTTCTACAACCTATTTTTTAGATATTTTTCTTGCCTTTATAAATTCTTATAAATGACTCAAGGTGGAAAACATACTCTTTACTCTTCCTATTTTCTCCACAACAGCCCAGTGAGGTGAGATGTGACTGGTCCAGAGTCATCTTTTATGTCTATGGCAGATTAGAACTCACTGTCTCCTGATTTCTAGCCTGGTATCTTAACCATTGGAACTGGCTTTTATATAAAGAAATGTTTGAAAACATTAAGTTTTGTTTTGATTCTGTTTACATAATCGGTGTGCCATGAAGTAAGGCCAATAGGTATTGAGTTAGTATCTTCAAAAAAATTATACCACACAGATTTAAGTAAAATATAAAGCAATTAAGATATTATACAGTTAACATCTTAATTAATAAACCTAACAATAAATATTATAGCAAAGTAATTTGCTACTGCCTTGGATATGAAGATTTGTGACTCATACTTTAAATTCCTTTAATGTCTGCAAATACTACTTGACTGTATTAGTGTGTTAAAATATTTTACATGATAAAAGTATTATAAATACAGTAGCTTTTTCAAGAACTCCATTTATGAACCAAAAGCAAAACGTATCTTTTTATTTTAGATTTTAGATTTATATTTTATAATATTCTTAACATACTAAATTTTGTGTACCATTTTGTGTTCCTAGTGCAGTACAATGTACCTAGTACAGTGCAAACAAAATTAGTAAAATAGACAGCATAGGGAAATTTATTTATTATTTAATTTGTGTGCCACCTATCTTACTACAAAGTTTACAAATATTTCTAAGTAAATTGGAGAAGAATATTACTTTATAAGTAAAATAAAAAACTTGTTCTTTCTCATATAGGCTACCAACTGGGTACAAATATGATTCAATGTAGAATGAGAAATATATTAAGATTGGCCATAAAATTTTCACTCAGCAAAATGATCCAACAACTGGGATTGAAGATTACTGGTAGCTTGGTAGCTTTATTTTTTTTTCTTTCATCACCAACCTGATTTAAATGATATCTTTCATTTAGATATTTGAAGTTAGTGTCAAATCATTCTACATAATCCCTATTGATTCCATATGGATATGAATGATTACTACGATTTTTGCCATCAATTCAGATTTGACTGATAGTGACTACGTAGACAAGTCTAAGCAGTTTTTAGAAAACATTTTTGGGAGTGCCATTATCATCTTTCGAAGGCTGAGAGAGAGTGACTGGCCCAAAGTTAACCAGTTTCTAGTTTCTGTGCTTATGACAGGATTAGAACTCTGGCCTCTTCACTCCTATTACCCCTTTAACTGCTAAACCGACCTAGCTCTCATGAACACGGTTATTCCATCTTTAATCAAAATTACCACAGGATTTAACAATATAAATCTGTTTACAAAACAAACAAAAATTATATTAAGGAAGACATTCTTAATGTCGATAAAATGATAACATAAACATAAAAATAAAAATGTACCTAAGATTAAAATGAAAGTGTTTCAAAGTAAGTTCCCTTAAAGAAAGCATTAGACATTAGACTGACCCCCACTCTAACACTCTTTCAGAAGACACTGAAGATATGGTTCTGTCAGCAGGCCTGGGGAATCCAAAGCGGGATGGAGTCCATTAAATGGTTTGTATGAATGTGTGTTGTTGCCAGGGTGGTGGCGTGGGGTGGGTGGATATTTTTTTACTATGTCTTCTTCCTCTTCTTCTTCTTCATTATTATTATTATTTTCATATGGGTTTTTATATCCATGTAAGCTGCCTTGAGTTGCCATGTGCGAGTAGGTGGCAATATAATTTTCTAAAATAAAAAATCTTATCCTTCCTTGATATGATGTGACGATGGAATTTTGTTGGTTATACTTATTCTGCTTTAATGGAATTTTTTTTGAACTACCCAGGACTAGCATGTATAAGGCAGGCAGGCAGGCAGGCAGGCAGGCAGACAGACAGACAGATAGATAGATCATAAGATAAATATATCTTATGATACAAAAATACTGAAACACATTAATCTGATCTAATAAGAGAGCCCTCGTATTCACCAAAACAATCTGTACTCCCAATGATACAGCAGAAAAATCATCAGACCATGAACCTTCATTTTACTGTAAATGAACAGCTCTCCTTCAACCCCTACCAGTTCAAAATAACTGTGATGGCTCTATGATTGTTATTTACTGGCTAAACTCTATTTTTTTTTTTCCCACAGAAAGATATTAGTACAGTATTTACTTAAACCTAAAGGAAATATACAATAAATAAAGCAAAATCCATGTTCGGATGATATCATTTTATAAGTAGATCATGAAAATATAAACTAAATGGCATAGCTAAAAAAACCTTGTGATGCTATCCATATCTCTGGGTGGGATCTGTTCCAGAAGGTGGGAGATGTGACAGAGAAGCCACCATGCTTCCTGGGTCCCACACAAAGGCAACATTTAATAGAAAGGACCTAGAGAGAAGGGGCAGTAGGAGCAAGCATATTAGGCAGGCAGAAACAATGGGAGACCTATAATACCTGAGGTGATCTCCAGTTATCTCAGGCATGGGGCATAGCAAAAAGAATTATATTAAGAAACTAACAAAACTCCCAGAGTGCACTAGACTGTTTATGACAAATGATCACTCAGTTTTTAAAGAACTCTACTAAGTTCTTCACTTCAGGTGGCAACCTGCTCACATAGCTTATACAGTTAGGCAATTCCTACTGAACGTAGCCTGAAGCACTTTTCATTGGTTCTGGTTCTGCCTTCTGCACAAAGTAAGTCTACTCTCTTTTCAATATGACATTCAGTTCTTCAAACAGGAGTAGAACCATTCATTAGCATTATCTGGGCATGATCACTCAACCAATTATAATTTTTTTTAACAATAGGACCATTTTGTCCACATTTTACCATTTTATTAAGGAAAATTTCATTCAAGACTCTGTTGAAGACTAAGTACTGAGGCCCAAGTACTCTCTACAGCATTCTCCTAATCTACTAAACTAGTAATTCTATAAAGAAAATGGATTTGCTCTGGCATTGCAGCAGGCACATACTGCTTCTTTCTCATTGTAGCATATCTATCAATGTTCAGAAACATATTGCTTTTATATTATTATTAATATAAAACTTAATTTATAGAAATAATGGCATTAAAAGAAAGGACATTTTCTAAGAACAATCGTTGTCTGTATTCAACTTATGTCACTCTATGGCCAAATGTTGAACAGTCACAGGCAAGTACAAACTTTTTTTTAGTGCAGACTGTTATAGAAGGTATTAATAAATACTCATAGATATCACAAATGAAAGGGTAGCAGTTTTTAATTAATTAGAATGTCACCTTTTATTCTGTTATTTCCAGAGTCAAGAAAACATTAGTAAGCAATTACATAAACTGCTCAAAATAAAGATGCTTACACAAGTTTTTAATCATGTAAAGCACAAACTTCTTTTGCATTATTCCACACATATTCCATAAACATGCACACACACATTAATAAACTTTATTGATATCAATATTAATAAAGAAAAAGGAATTTAGTACTTACCTACTATAATGAACTGGCACCAGTACAAAATAACAATCAATATTATGATGGAAATGATAGAGAACCGCTCCACAGGCTTAAACCAAGGTACTATAAACAAAACAAATACAGTACAACTTCAGGAATGAGTGCACATTTATAATATTTTTCACATATTTTTATGCTGACCTTTTGGACATTTCTTTATCATTACAGTAGAAAAAGTCATATCATTTACAATACAATTATTCTAGGTTTCCACATTAAAAGCATAGGGGGCAAGATTTTAAGTCATCCATCCTGAAATGTCCCACTCCTCTACTAGTGTCTGCCTATCCACGACAATAAACACACATAATCTAATAAACTTGTGTTTATTACATTAAATTTACAACTTTTAGTGATTTCAAGCATAATGTAAGCAAGAGCAGTTACTAAAAATGGAAGCAATACCGAAGGACTGGCAGCACTTTACCATACCTATGGCATCTGCGAGTGGTATTTGAAAAATATTCTCAAAATAGGTCACAACGAAACCAAGATGAGCAGGTCACAAAGTAAAGTGGACCTTTGTCCTAACATGCAATCTATTGCAGACAACAGCAAGATTTAAGAAAACAATTCAAGTTGTCATTTATATTGCCTTGGTTCAAACCATGGAACAACTCAAGTCTTTTGGTTGTGTTTCAAATTATCATCCTAGCACTATCTTCCTGAAGTTTCTGGAAATCTGTCCCTGACGTTCTTGCACATTTTTATTTCCTTCACCTTCCTGCACAGTCCCAGACTTTTCTTCTGAGAATTAGCATTCTACATTGTATCTATTACGTTTGCATCACAGAGGCTTTGTAATTTTCCACTTGTGACCTTAAACTGTAACTGTAGTCTTTTGTCATGGCATTAAAAAGCACTTTCAATAAATATATGGATGTAAATGTAAAAATACCAGCCACTGAAGACATTTCTGCAAACTGTGGTCTGAAGAAAGGGCTGCCTTCTTAGATTCTTAGTTAAAATCTAAAAATTACTGGGATACCCAAGAGTGTTACTTTTTGCTATCTTCCATAGCATTAGTAAGACTGCACTCTTTATTTCAAAGGCTGTTTTGAAGACAGTAGAGATAAAACTTACTATAAGCATGCCCTATTTTTTAATCATTTGTATATTAGTTTTATACAGTTGATATGGTCAAATGACTTCATCAATAAAGACTACATTCCTTTCCCTTCTCTTCCATTCTGCTATTTTAACAAGGGAAGGAAAAAAGTGTAGAATCTTTGGACATCCTTTTCAAACGTAGTGCTACGTCCTTCCACAGAACATAGTAGTGCCCGAGCTAAATCTACTGTGCTGCCCAAGGGCTGACAAAGTAAGCCTTAGTAATTCTCTGCTGGCACAGGGATCAAGAGATACCAGGCACTTCCCGCAGGAACTGACTAGGCTTCTGCATTTCCTCAATTCCAGATTTTGACCTAGTTAACGCGGTAGTATATGCTATTCATACCACAAACTATGGTTGGGTCAAATATGTTTTTTGAATTAAAGAAGTAATATGTTGATCACCCAATTCTGCTATGACAATATTGAGTAGATTATGATCCCATTCTTAATTTCTTTTTAGCAGCAGCTGTGAAATCTTAAGAAGTAAGGCTGATGCAGTTGCCAGGCTGACTGAAGTGGGAGGACTAATTCAGGAAAACTGTCAGAAACAGTAAACAAGCCTTTAATGCAGCTTCATTTTCCAGATATTCTTCTTACCGATTTCTGATGAATTTTTTGGACAGGCTGTAAGGGGGAAAAAAAACAAAACAGGGACAACTCTAATTTCTATGTTTGGATATATTATGCCATGGTTAACATAAAGTACAATTCATTAGCCCACTGAACTTCCCACCGCACTTTGTTGCTAGAAAAGCATGGCCTGTCTTAGGCTCAGATAAATGTATAATTTTCAACTTGTCAAACTATAGCTTGCTTCGACTTCAAATCTAATATTTTCTTTTTAAAAAGGGAAAATTATATCAGGAAGTGGGCTACTATTACATTAACTGAAGCTATCTCCATTTAAATGCTTTTAGAAAGTCACTTTTTCACCTCATATCTTGTTTGTTGATCTAAACCTACCACCAAGTTAATCTGAGCATAATTCTGGATCAATATATAGATTCAGGCCGGGGTGAAATCTACTTACCTTCCCTACCGGTTCAGAAGTGCATGTGCCATGCGTTACGTGCACGCACCGACCCTCTGCGCATGCGCAAACCCTTCTGCACATGCACAGAGGGTAAAAAACAGGTTACTTCCTGGTTAAAACCAGGAAGTAACAATGACCGGGCGGGTGGGCAGAGCCTCAAGCTGCCATCACTAATGGTTCTCCAAACCACCAGCCGTCATTGCTACTGGTTTGGCCAAACCGGGTTGAACTGGGAGCATTTCATCCCTGATTCAGGCTCAATTAACTACAACGCTCTAAATTCTCAAATACTTACAGAATTAATGTTACCACGGTTTTCTTACCATCTGATTCTTTTTCTATAATATCACCTATTCCATGAAAAAGCAAGACCTTCAATAAACTACAACAATAGATGAAAGATATGAAATATTTAAGGGCAAGGGAAGTGGAAGAGGAGACCAGCTTCTGTCTATTTATTATGATATAAGAAGAAAATACCGCATAAAACCTAATGACAATTCAGAAAATTCTGCATATTACTTCTATCTGTCTGGGGGGAGGGGTAGCTTTTTGTACTGAAGTTTTGTCCATGTAAACTGCCTGTTGTGGCTTGTACGCGGCCTGTGCAGCTAGTAGCTGGTTCAGACAGCGAGGAGGCTGGTGTGGTGCTGCGCCAGCAGCCTGTGCAGCTGGCACTCGAGTCGGATAATGAGGAGGCTGGAGAAGATGTGGTGCCAGAGGCGGGGATTCAGCCAGGGCCTTCAGAACCTCCAGAAGCTCCCTTAAGTGAAGAGGACGAAGAGGAGGAGCCTCTTCTCGATGCACGGGCGCGCAGAGCTGCCAAAAGGCAGGAGTGGCTCCTCAGGAGGAGGTCTCCTCGAGAGTAAGGCTTGGGGTTAATTGGCTACTCCCTTAGCCTATTTAAGGAGGAACACCAACTGAAGCAATTTGCAGGGAACAACTTCGTTCACATAACTTCGTGTTTTGTCTTCCTTATCAGCTTTCTGCAAATTGCTTCTGGGCATTCTGCCAACCACAGTAAGTTTTCAGTTATTATTCTTTGAATTCTTGGCAGCTGTTAATGCAATTAATTAACAGCCGTTGTTGTAAAAGACTGGTTTATTCAGTAAACCAAGATTTGAACGGACTTTGTATGTGCTGTGTTCTTTGGGGTCAGTAGCTGGGGCAGAACACTGCCTGGAGTCACCAAGAGCAAGTTGGGTGGCCATTTTTTTTTCTTTTAGCAACCCTAAATCCCTTGATTGCGGTGGAGTTGGGGCGACTGAATGGAACTAAGTGTTTAAATGGCCAGATGCCCTTCCTGGTGTCTACGCGGAGCTCACAGCGGATATCTTCTCATTACGCCGAGAGAGAGAAATATCTACTGTTACCTGGGATCGAACTCACGGCCTACTGATTGTGAGGCGAGAGCTTCACCTCTAGGAGGTGGCCATATAAATGTTCTTAAATAAAATAAAATGCCAGCAAATAACTCTAGCATGCAAATAAGTAGGGTGGAATATGGATACCTCCAGACAAGACTTCAACTGAACAGTCATTGTATCCTACAGCTAGTGTCACAAGATGGTTTTTTTTTTAACTGAAAGTGTACTGTTTTTCAGGGACATAACCAACCCAGAAAAAAACAGGATAATGGAGGCTTTTATGCTTCTCACTATACAGTTCTCACTTAACCACTGCTTCAGACAATGACCCTTCACAATTATGATGGTGATAAAGAAATAACTTCACCACCAATGCCTGCATTTATGAGCTTCGCAGGTCCGTAAAGCAGAGGAAAGATGAGCAAGATCATAAGCACAGTTGAAGTCACATGGTATCTCACTTAGTGACTGCATTGTTTAATGAACAACTATGTCCCAACTATGGTAGCTAAACAAGGACTACCTTTATATAATGGGGTTATATAAAGGCATTTACAAAATATACTATACAATACTGGTGTTCACTGGGTGTCAGTTTCCTTCTGCTCTACCTCATAGAGTTTTAGCCTGGAACCTCCTAATCAAGGCACAAAGTTATAGTGATAAAACACTGATTGAGTTTGAGTAAACTTCCCCCCTCCCAATTTTTCAGGAAACTTCATTAGATTTTCACAGGTCCCTAGGATCAGAGGTGGTATTCAGCTGGTTTGGTCCGGTTTGGGCAACCTGCGGGTGGACCTAGCCACCCGCCCGGGCGCAATCCCATCCTATATCACTGTGTTTTTGATGCTGCACGTATGTGTGGACAACACACGTGAGCAAATTGCCGTGTTGTTTGACATCACATGCATGTGTGGGCGGTGCGAGCGAATTGCTGTGTTTTGTGATGCCGCACGTATGCCTGGACGGCGCGCACACACTCACATTTCTGGTGCTGGGTGAACTGAAAGGAGCCGAGATGGTGCAGTGGTTAGAGTGCAGAACTGCAGCTACTTCAGCTGACTGCTAATTCAGCAGATCAGCTGATCAAATCTCACCGGCTCAGGGTTGACTCAGCCTTTCATCCTTCTGAGGTGGGTAAAATGAGGACCCAGATTGTTAGCGGGCAATATGCTATTTAGTATACTGTCTTTGGTGTAAGCCGCCCAGAATCCTCGGAGAGTGGGCGGCATAGAAATATGATTAATAAATATATAATAAATAAATAAATAAACTGGTTGCTACAGTATGTGAACTCCACCTCTGCCTAGGGTTCCACAAAACAGGGTTTGAAAATCCCCAACATAAGGATTAATTAAAACATGCAATTTGAAGGAGTTGGTTTTTGCATAAAACTGGAAGAAACAAGTTCAGCTGAAGCCTAAAATCTCTTCCTTGTTAGATCTGTTAGGAAGTTAGTTTTAGCTAAAATGTATCTTGAACTTTTCATGTTTTCTTCCCTTTTTAAAAAATTCTATTCTGATTTTTTTAAAGACTACTTTAAGTGGTGTTTCGAACTTATTGTATCACAATCAGAACCAAATCCATGCAAAATAGAAAATGTTTGGTCCTTCCAATATTCAAGTGTTGACAAGAAATCTGCTAATTAGAACCATTAGAAACTCTGACAATATACTATCCAGTGTCCCCCAGTTGGTGTACTTATACCTAACTTTACTCTTTTAATCATGGCACAGCACTATACTTTTTAAAAGGAGGACAATTGTTTTGCATGTAGAGGACAATTGCTGGAGTTACTATTTTCTATGATACATCTTTTCATCATTCTGAAGCACAGCTGGCTGGCCACACTTCTCAGTATGAAAGAAGCTCAATGGGAGATGCTCCTTTATGGTAGTGCTTAAATGAAGGGTGGGAAGACAGAGAGGCTGTACACCAGGAGTGGTATTCACTTACCTTCGCTACCGGTTCGCAAATGTGAGTGCGCACACACTTCGCTCGCACATGCCACCTCTGCGCATGTGCAGGACCTTTCGTGCCCGCACAGAGCAGCAAAAATGGGACATGATGAGGTTTGGGTGGGTGGGTGAAGCCTCCCGCTACCGGTTCATCCGAACCGGATAGAACTGGCTGAATACCACCACTGCTGTACACCTTGGACAGTGGAACAGGACATTTTCAACTCTCTCCTACCATCTCCTACATGTTAAATAAAAATACGACCAGTGGTGGGTTGCCCCCGGTTCGAACCGGGTCTATAGAACTGGCAGTAAAACCGGCGGGAGGCTTCGCCCACCAACCCCGATGTGATCAGAATGCTTCTGTGTTCTGTGTTCTGCAAGCGGAGCCCCGTTGCGAACTGGTAGTAAAGGTAAGTAGAACCCATCCCTGAATTCGACCCATTAAACTCTTAACACTCAATATTTCACTGAAATGTATTTATTTATTTAATCCTAAAATACCCATGCTGCTCCATTCCAGACCAGCCATTTCTGCTTCAGAAACAATTTGTTTCAATTTACATCAGAACTTATTAAAAAGTTGTTGTTTTTTCCTGCATAGTACCAGGTTTTGTATTACTAAAACAAAAACTAATGAAAAAACTATTAGAAGATTCAAACAAGGACCCAATCTCTTGCCTCTCTCAAGATTAGCAACTATCAGCTCTAGACAGGTGGTCTCTGATTTGAATGAATTAGGAAAACCACAGAGGAATTAAAAAGTTATTCCTGGGATAATGCTATGTTACACTACATATGATTGCAGAAAAGCAGTTCAAGAACAGTCATCTGAGTTCGCTTTCTTGCTTTCCTTTCCCTTTTAAGCCTTTTTCCTCTTTTCTGCCTCATCTTTACGTTGCAATCCTTCAGGCAGAGCATATCTTTTTTTTTTTTTTTACTGACTTTATGTAAGCTCTCTTGGAGCCTTTTGAGCTGAAGAAGATATAAATACTTTAAACCAGGGGTATATGCAATCTGTGCTCTTAATCTAATTTCAAATTTCTAGCCTATTGCACAGAATGGGGAGAATGTATTAGGAAAAGAGAAAGAGGGACAAAAAGCAAGATGGGAATGGTGTGTTGAGCAGAGCTTCTTAAAGTCTGTTCAGTAAACAAGTATCAGTAAAATACCTATACTGATATATTATATATACTGAAATATTTTACTGATCGGCATATGGTTTATTTGCAAGGCCAGAAGGGACCTGTGAATATTGTTGTTCTT